TAGGTAGGTACCACTTCCTCCAAATAGTTTTTAATGCTATTCCTCTTATTTCTCTCTCTATCCCTCAATAGTTCCTCTAATAAATCCTCATCGTCGCTATCAGAATTATCCATAACGATTTGGTAAATCTCGTCATCATCAGACTCACTTGAATCGCTTGATGTTTCCATCAGCTCTGTCACTATACCGCGCAAGACTCCGCCGTCATCTTCAGATGAACAAGCACTTGCGCCATTTACCTAGAAAATATGTCAGAAGCATTACAAAGACCGAAGTGCAATTTACAGACCTCTGCAGACTCATTTATAAATGAGGCATACGTCAAGAATAAAGCTCGTTGAGGTCATTAAAAAACCTTTCATATATTTACATTTACATACATATTACGAGTAAAACTAAAAAAACGAAATTATGGCCATTGTTTTAACAGAACGTATGGTTTCTAAAAAAAGACGTAATTAACTATATTAAAAGATAATTTGGTATATAATTTTATATAGTTAGGTTTAAGTACAACTACCAACAGTGATATAAAACCACCGAAGACTTTGCGTTACAAATCAAAAACCTTATTATTAAAAGAATGGCCATAATTTCGATTTTTTAATTTTCCTATAAATATATTTATATTATATTATATGAATGGTCTTCGAATTATCTTTCCAATCATATCCACATTTTTAAAATCGGTTCAAGTGTTCGAAATATGAGCTTATGAAAATATTGAAAATTCCACTTTTAACCCCTAAAAATATCATATTTCAAACCGAAGTTATTAATAAACTAGTGCACAGATATAGTAAATTTTTTGTTTAATAAAGCTTACACTCTTGCCTACAAGTGTGAGTAAAACTTTTTTGATTTGGGTTACGCGTTTGGGCTCAGCAACCCAAAATCGTTGTACAAATAACTAAACCGCACTCGTAAATAATTCAAACCGAATTTATTCATAAAATTAGTGCTCGGTAATTCGAGAGTTTAGTTTTAAATTAAACTTTAATACTCCGGCTACACAGGTATGTTGAAGTTTTTTTTTAATCGGGTCACGCATTTTTACACAATGACCCGAAATCAATGGGTAAAAATCTACACCATACCACCGCACCAAAGTTAAATTTTAGTTGAACTATGAATTCGTTTGCGATGTTAAGAACAACTCATTTTCACTTTATATCTAGCTTTATATTCGTTTACAAGGGTCATCACAACTCATTTTATTCTATATATTAGCCCTTGCTGAAACTATGCTCACCACGTCCGTGTG